TCGGGACGAAACATCTTTTATGGAGGGTAAAATGTGATACTCTGAAAATTTAAAATAAATAAATAACTGTTTTTAATTATATAAAATGTTTAAAAATTGACATTTTATAATAATTAGACTAACCAGATAAGACTTTAACTTAATTAACATAAATAGATAAAAAAAAGTGACATCTCGATCACAAATGTCAATTCGGTTAATTAGGTGTGCCAAAGTACACTTAATATCATTAACAAAAAATGTTGAAAGGTTGACTTTTGAAATCTAATAATACGTACACATATCAATAATAATAGATCACAATAACCTACCAATAATATAGAATAGACATGGTATAGTAATAACTAATAATGCAATAATATAGGAGTGTATGTACTCACATGGTATGTTTCGAATCTTGCCATAGAAACTTAGAACCCACATGGGTAGCCCGTACATGCCACTCTCAATACTGCATAAAACAATGATAGATAAGTGATGATGTAAACAGTAATAATAATAAATATAACGCCAAAAATAATATACTGCGTATGTACACACATATCTTTCCAAAACCCACCCATATCTTTTGGAGACAAAACCTACTATGCGTATTGTATGCAATGTACTTAACCTTAGCCTAGAAGCAGTTTTTAAATAGCAGTCACCCAATCGACCCTCACTGCATATACCCAAAACGAGCGAATAACATAGAAAGAAAAGAGAGCAAAGGAAAGGGAAAAGAGGGAAAGGAAAGAGAGAAAGTAAAGTCAGGCGTAGGAGAGAAAAGATATATGGAGAGGGAGAGAAGGAAAGGAAAAGTGCGAGAGAAAAGAGAGAAGAAAGGGAAGGATGCTCGATCATCGCCGGAAACCGCTGGACTGGGTCCCACACCGGAGGTAGAACGCCGTCGCTACTGCTGTAGGAGTAACTAGCGCCGGAGGAGGAAAAATGCCGGGGTGATTGCTAGGCTACGTATCCTAGTCTCCGTCTGGTCCCCAGATTATCAACCGGCCATCCCTTCCATCGTGAAGGAGTTAAAATGTGGTTGCGGTGAAGATCGAAATAACAACTTGAATAAAAGTGACATGAATCGAGGTAAGTGTTTCCGTCAATCAAAACTACTATTCCTCTAGTTAATAGTTTCAAAAACTTGTATGTGAACTATATTCCAAGTTTTGAGATTTGATATTATTTGAAAATATGTGGAGTATTTGGACTTGCAAAAATTACTATTTTACTAGCGTTACTAGATTTGCCACTTTTTGATGAAGTTTTGAAACTTTGAGAAAATATATGGATGTGAGAAATATGACTATCTTGTGTACAAAATCGATTTATTGATCTTGAGAAAGTGTGATCTCATTTGAATACTACGTTCTTTTGAGAAAACTACAATTTGAGATCGGATATTGTGACTACGTTTGGAAATACAACAAGTCCTTACTTTGACAAAGATTAATTTTTGAACAACTAGTGATCCTAAAGATCTAATTATATGATTACTATTGCAAAAGCTTTGATATGAAATTATATGTACTGTATTTGAGACTAGTAATATACATACAAGAGTTTATATATGTATTTCTTTTATTAATATGTCCATCTCATACACACTTTTGGAAAATTTCGATGTGTATATAAATATATTTTAAATCACTACTACATTTAAATGTATAATTATAACTAGTATTGAATCTATAAGATATACTACGTAGATGATTTGAGAGGTCTTGGTACATATATAAAACTTTTTAGCTAATTGATTTTCAAGATATGATTTCAAATACCTAAGTTTTCTAAAATGTATATATAATTTACCACTTCGATAATTGAAGGAATTTCAATAAAGCTATTTTTTTAGATTATTATTTTAAATATATGATGAGCGTACAAATCCACGTTTACCAAAATTTACTATTTTACCTCATTAATAATTTTGAGATGTTTTAATAAAAATATTTATTTATAAAATTCCATACTTGAATAATATTACGAGCATTTAACTATAAAAATTATTATTGAGCTACATATTATTTTAAGAGATTTTGGTACAATATATAAAATAAACATCTTTCTATATGAGTATAACTAGTACTTATTTTTATAGTAATGTAGCTTTCGAGGCCAATAAAAAAAAATGATTTTTACCGCATGCTTATATGTATGCAATATTTGAACTATGGGAAGTATTTATGACTTGGAAATTTATGATGGACATGGATGGAATATTTTGAATATATGAGTATTGGTGGATTATTTTCTATGGATGATTAAATGTATATTTTTTTAAGAAAATTGGTGGATTGATATTTATTACAAAGATTATCTTTGGAAGTGTGACAAGAATGATTTTGGGGAAAACCTAAAGTTTTCATAATATATTTTTACGTCTCGAGAGAAACACGAGGCGTGGGTGGTTAGGGCTACTACTACTTTTGGTGAAATTTATTTGGGTCGGTAACCAATCCGGCAATGACACGCTCCGGTAGACATCCCGGGCTTTTATTTGAGGATCAAAGATCCTTTGGTGGTCGTAGTAGTAGTTACCTAATTTACCCTTGGACAATGTCCCTTGCGAGTAGGTGGTAGAAAACATCCTGCCTACTTGGATTTCTTACTACTCGGAGAGCTTGGAATCTCTTTTAGAGGGTGTGCACACTTAAGGTATAAATTCAGCTTCCAATTGGTGGTCGGTGGGAGCCGGAATTCCGGGATGAGTCGTAGACAACAACGACTCATTGGGCTCGAGGAATCTTGAGTTTCGCCCACTCTTAAAAGAAACATAAAATATTACTTTGGTTGGAATTGAGAATGGAAATATCTATTGGAGGAATTATTTTGAGACCTTAAATAATTTTGGATATACATATGGGAGGATTAAATATTTTGGGGAATTAAATCTTTTTATTACCATTGAGACTATCGAGGAGAATTATTCCTTATAAGGGTTGTGAAGGAAATCTTACTATTCAAAGTTTATAAACATTATTTTGAGTTATGAATGCTATTCTAAAATTATTACTCCATATTTAATATGTTGGGAAGTATACAGATTTGACAAAGTATTTTGGAGGACTATGTGATTTCAAGACATTATTTTACTTGCATATGTGTGATATGATGTGAGATGGAATAATTTTTACGAACCCCAGTTTAGTGTGTGTATTTATTTGTGTATTTATGAGATCAAATATTTTACTTGCATTTGAGGAATTGTAAAGTATTTTGAAAAGGGTTTTGACATGTATTTTGAAAAATTATATATGTATCAAACATGATTATTTTACGGGGTTGAGTAGGCCCTTACTTAGCATTTCAAGCTAATTTTTGTTTCTTTGTGTTTTCCTTCTTTACTTTATTTGTGCAGGAATAGATGATCATATTGAAGTTGCTTTCGAGAGCTTCCGCTAGAACACATAGACTAAAGTTTATTGAGTAATTTATTTTAGTCTTAATTTTAAGGAATTGTAGTTGAACAATTAATTATGGAAAATTTTAATTGTTGGTGGTGGATAGCCTGTGCACTCGGTTGTGTGAGAACCGAGTGTGGCGGTAACGCCCCTTATTTTCATTTAAATTTCCGCTGCACAATTCTGATGTTTTCAAATAAAATTTAAATTCCTTTGAATAAATCATTATTTAAAGGTATTTTGGGTGGGAAATTTGGGGGTGTTACAAGTTGGTATCAGAGAGTTTGATTTTCCAAAATGAGATTTTCAAACATTTTGTGAGATTTTCAAATTGGAATTTTCGAATAAAACTTTTTCTTAAGTGACTATGTTTTTTTAGAGTTAGTATTTGAACTTTTGTTTTCAAAAACATATTGAAATTTTTCGAAGAAGTTTCCTCAAATGTTTTTCCTTCAAAAAATAATACCAGTTTTCAAAATGAGTTTGAAATTAAAGAGAAGAAATTTAGGATTAATAAATGGACTAGGGAAATACTTCGTAACAAATTTAGGATCGTGGTGAGCTTGTGAGATAATGATTTTATGTTTGTGTGGATTTATGTGAATATTAATAATTGCTTAAGATAGGCATATTGGTGATATACTCCCCACTAAAGATTTAGCACCAAGACTTATGTGCTATTTGCTTATTTTTATTTTTTTCCCCTATTGTGTAAGATGTATGGTAAGAGTATATCTAAGGAACATTTAGTATTATGCTTCAGGGATGAAGCATTCTTTTAAGGAGGGTAGGTTGTGACACTCCTTAAATTTAATTAATAATAATAATAATAAAGACTAACATGTAATAAGTGTTAATGGTATTTGTGGAATTTTTTTTAAGCTTATGTTTCGGGACGAAACATCTTTTATGGAGGGTAAAATGTGATACTCTGAAAATTTAAAATAAATAAATAACTGTTTTTAATTATATAAAATGTTTAAAAATTGACATTTTATAATAATTAGACTAACCAGATAAGACTTTAACTTAATTAACATAAATAGATAAAAAAAAGTGACATCTCGATCACAAATGTCAATTCGGTTAATTAGGTGTGCCAAAGTACACTTAATAATATCATTAACAAAAAATGTTGAAAGGTTGACTTTTGAAATCTAATAATACGTACACATATCAATAATAATAGATCACAATAACCTACCAATAATATAGAATAGACATGGTATAGTAATAACTAATAATGCAATAATATAGGAGTGTATGTACTCACATGGTATGTTTCGAATCTTGCCATAGAAACTTAGAACCCACATGGGTAGCCCGTACATGCCACTCTCAATACTGCATAAAACAATGATAGATAAGTGATGATGTAAACAGTAATAATAATAAATATAACGCCAAAAATAATATACTGCGTATGTACACACATATCTTTCCAAAACCCACCCATATCTTTTGGAGACAAAACCTACTATGCGTATTGTATGCAATGTACTTAACCTTAGCCTAGAAGCAGTTTTTAAATAGCAGTCACCCAATCGACCCTCACTGCATATACCCAAAACGAGCGAATAACATAGAAAGAAAAGAGAGCAAAGGAAAGGGAAAAGAGGGAAAGGAAAGAGAGAAAGTAAAGTCAGGCGTAGGAGAGAAAAGATATATGGAGAGGGAGAGAAGGAAAGGAAAAGTGCGAGAGAAAAGAGAGAAGAAAGGGAAGGATGCTCGATCATCGCCGGAAACCGCCGGACTGGGTCCCACACCGGAGGTAGAACGCCGTCGCTACTGCTGTAGGAGTAACTAGCGCCGGAGGAGGAAAAATGCCGGGGTGATTGCTAGGCTACGTATCCTAGTCTCCGTCTGGTCCCCAGATTATCAACCGGCCATCCCTTCCATCGTGAAGGAGTTAAAATGTGGTTGCGGTGAAGATCGAAATAACAACTTGAATAAAAGTGACATGAATCGAGGTAAGTGTTTCCGTCAATCAAAACTACTATTCCTCTAGTTAATAGTTTCAAAAACTTGTATGTGAACTATATTCCAAGTTTTGAGATTTGATATTATTTGAAAATATGTGGAGTATTTGGACTTGCAAAAATTACTATTTTACTAGCGTTACTAGATTTGCCACTTTTTGATGAAGTTTTGAAACTTTGAGAAAATATATGGATGTGAGAAATATGACTATCTTGTGTACAAAATCGATTTATTGATCTTGAGAAAGTGTGATCTCATTTGAATACTACGTTCTTTTGAGAAAACTACAATTTGAGATCGGATATTGTGACTACGTTTGGAAATACAACAAGTCCTTACTTTGACAAAGATTAATTTTTGAACAACTAGTGATCCTAAAGATCTAATTATATGATTACTATTGCAAAAGCTTTGATATGAAATTATATGTACTGTATTTGAGACTAGTAATATACATACAAGAGTTTATATATGTATTTCTTTTATTAATATGTCCATCTCATACACACTTTTGGAAAATTTCGATGTGTATATAAATATATTTTAAATCACTACTACATTTAAATGTATAATTATAACTAGTATTGAATCTATAAGATATACTACGTAGATGATTTGAGAGGTCTTGGTACATATATAAAACTTTTTAGCTAATTGATTTTCAAGATATGATTTCAAATACCTAAGTTTTCTAAAATGTATATATAATTTACCACTTCGATAATTGAAGGAATTTCAATAAAGCTATTTTTTTAGATTATTATTTTAAATATATGATGAGCGTACAAATCCACGTTTACCAAAATTTACTATTTTACCTCATTAATAATTTTGAGATGTTTTAATAAAAATATTTATTTATAAAATTCCATACTTGAATAATATTACGAGCATTTAACTATAAAAATTATTATTGAGCTACATATTATTTTAAGAGATTTTGGTACAATATATAAAATAAACATCTTTCTATATGAGTATAACTAGTACTTATTTTTATAGTAATGTAGCTTTCGAGGCCAATAAAAAAAAATGATTTTTACCGCATGCTTATATGTATGCAATATTTGAACTATGGGAAGTATTTATGACTTGGAAATTTATGATGGACATGGATGGAATATTTTGAATATATGAGTATTGGTGGATTATTTTCTATGGATGATTAAATGTATATTTTTTTAAGAAAATTGGTGGATTGATATTTATTACAAAGATTATCTTTGGAAGTGTGACAAGAATGATTTTGGGGAAAACCTAAAGTTTTCATAATATATTTTTACGTCTCGAGAGAAACACGAGGCGTGGGTGGTTAGGGCTACTACTACTTTTGGTGAAATTTATTTGGGTCGGTAACCAATCCGGCAATGACACGCTCCGGTAGACATCCCGGGCTTTTATTTGAGGATCAAAGATCCTTTGGTGGTCGTAGTAGTAGTTACCTAATTTACCCTTGGACAATGTCCCTTGCGAGTAGGTGGTAGAAAACATCCTGCCTACTTGGATTTCTTACTACTCGGAGAGCTTGGAATCTCTTTTAGAGGGTGTGCACACTTAAGGTATAAATTCAGCTTCCAATTGGTGGTCGGTGGGAGCCGGAATTCCGGGATGAGTCGTAGACAACAACGACTCATTGGGCTCGAGGAATCTTGAGTTTCGCCCACTCTTAAAAGAAACATAAAATATTACTTTGGTTGGAATTGAGAATGGAAATATCTATTGGAGGAATTATTTTGAGACCTTAAATAATTTTGGATATACATATGGGAGGATTAAATATTTTGGGGAATTAAATCTTTTTATTACCATTGAGACTATCGAGGAGAATTATTCCTTATAAGGGTTGTGAAGGAAATCTTACTATTCAAAGTTTATAAACATTATTTTGAGTTATGAATGCTATTCTAAAATTATTACTCCATATTTAATATGTTGGGAAGTATACAGATTTGACAAAGTATTTTGGAGGACTATGTGATTTCAAGACATTATTTTACTTGCATATGTGTGATATGATGTGAGATGGAATAATTTTTACGAACCCCAGTTTAGTGTGTGTATTTATTTGTGTATTTATGAGATCAAATATTTTACTTGCATTTGAGGAATTGTAAAGTATTTTGAAAAGGGTTTTGACATGTATTTTGAAAAATTATATATGTATCAAACATGATTATTTTACGGGGTTGAGTAGGCCCTTACTTAGCATTTCAAGCTAATTTTTGTTTCTTTGTGTTTTCCTTCTTTACTTTATTTGTGCAGGAATAGATGATCATATTGAAGTTGCTTTCGAGAGCTTCCGCTAGAACACATAGACTAAAGTTTATTGAGTAATTTATTTTAGTCTTAATTTTAAGGAATTGTAGTTGAACAATTAATTATGGAAAATTTTAATTGTTGGTGGTGGATAGCCTGTGCACTCGGTTGTGTGAGAACCGAGTGTGGCGGTAACGCCCCTTATTTTCATTTAAATTTCCGCTGCACAATTCTGATGTTTTCAAATAAAGTTTAAATTCCTTTGAATAAATCATTATTTAAAGGTATTTTGGGTGGGAAATTTGGGGGTGTTACAAGAATCATCAGAAGACCCCCTACGAGCTGTGGAAAGGAAGAAAGCCAAACATCAGCTACTTCCATGTGTTTGGATGCAAGTGCTATATTCTAAACAATGGAAAGGAGAACCTGAAAGTATTTCAAGAAAAAGCTGATGAAGGTGTATTCTTAGGCTACTCAAGTTCAAGCAAAGCCTATAGAATACTTAACAGGAGATCTCTACAAGTTGAAGAATCAATTCATGTCAAGTTTGATGATAGCACCTCTGCTGAAGAAATTTCAGAAACCCTGCAGAAAATCAATCTTGAAGATAAAGTTTCAGAACTATTAGAAGAGGTCACTATCAATCCAGTACTCTCAACTCCTATTACTAATCCAGTTCTGATAGACAAAGATGAAGATGAAGATGAAGAATCAGAAGATGAACCATCAGAGTTGCCTAGACAGCAACTATCAGAACCTGATCTAACTTGGTTAAGAGACCACCCTCCTAATCAAGTGATTGGTCAAGTTACCAGTGGAGTAAGGACCAGATCAGCATCTAGAAGAGAAGCCATGTTCACCTGTTGTATTTCCCAGATGGAACCATTGTGTGTGGAAGAAGCTCTAGAAGATTCAGATTGGATCAATGCAATGCAGGAAGAGCTAACACAGTTTGAAAGGAATGAAGTGTGGAAACTTGTTCCTAGACCAAAGCATCAGAATGTCATTGGAACCAAATGGGTATTCAAGAACAAAGCTGATGAAGAAGGCAACATTGTAAGGAATAAAGAAAGGCTTGTAGCAAAGGGATATTGTCAAGAAGAAGGCATAGATTTTGATGAGACCTTTGCACCTGTTGCAAGACTGGAAGCAATCAGAATATTCCTAGCCTATGCTGCTTACAACGACATCAAAGTATACCAGATGGATGTCAAGAGTGCATTTCTGAATGGAGAACTTGAAGAGGAAGTTTATGTTGAACAACCTCCAGGTTTTGTCATTCCTACTCAATCTTCTTGTGTCTACAATCTCAGAAAGGCCCTCTATGGTCTTAAGCAAGCTCCCAGAGCTTGGTATGACACATTGTCCCTATTCTTAGTGAACCATGGGTTTACTAAAGGAAAGGTTGACAAGACTTTATTTCAGATTTCTGTTGCCAATCATATCTTGTTAGTGCAAATATATGTTGATGATATTATATTTGGTAGCACTAATCCAGTTCTATGCAAGAAGTTTTCTCAAGTTATGCAGAACAAATTTGAAATGAGCATGATGGGAGAACTCAGTTATTTCCTTGGATTGCAAGTCAAACAAGTTCCAGAAGGCATCTTTATCAACCAAGGGAAGTACACCAGAGATCTCATCAAGAAGTTTGGCATTGATGGAAAATCTTCAGTCAAAATTCCTATGAATGCATCTCAAGGAATTGGACCAGATGATGAAGGAAAGGATGTTGATGAAACAACTTATAGAGGAATCATTGGATCTCTCCTCTATCTGACTGCAAGCAGACCAGACATAGCTTTTGCAGTAGGAATCTGTGTCAGATACCAATCAAAGCCCAAGGAGAGCCATCTAGTTGCTGCTAAGAAGATTATCAGATATATCAAAGGAAATCCAAATGCAGGACTATGGTATCCCAAGGGAGGTAATTTTGAACTAATTGGTTATTCTGATTCAGATTTTGCAGGTTGTAGATTGGACAGGAAGAGCACTTCTGATCACTGTCAATTGCTAGGTGGGAGACTTGTTTCCTAGTTTAGCAAGAAGCAGAACTCAATCTCAACTAGCAGTGCTGAAGCTGAATATATTGCTGCTGGAAGCTGCTGTGCTCAATTGCTTTGGATGAAGCAACAACTCAAGGATTATTGAGTGCAAGCAAAGGAAATCAAGCTGCTATGTGACAATACCAGTGCCATTGCCATCACTCAGAATCCTGTGCTGCATTCAAGGACAAAGCATATTGAGATCAGACATCACTTCATCAGAGATCATGTGGAGAAGAAGCACATCTCAATTGAGCATGTTCCAACTGAAGACCAGCTTGCAGATATTCTAACCAAACCTCTCTCTGAGGCTAGGTTTAACAAGTTGAGAGAAGAATTGGGAATGATGGATGATCTTCCCAGAGATACATGAATCAGAGTTGCAGAAGTATCAGATGTGGACTCATCAGAACACCCCATCTCTGATACCTGAGCTCTTATCCGTCAGAAGCTTGAATCAAAGTTGCAGAAGCACCAGACGTGGATCCATCAGAATTCACCAACTCTGATACTCTTTTCCATCAGAGGACCTTGTATCAGAATACCCCTTCTCTGATACAAGGGCTATTATTTATCAGAGTGGCTGTGGACTTAGAAAAATTTTTCTAAATCTCGGGCGAGGCTATTCAATAAACTGGGTTTTACCATTTTACCCCCGGTACTTATTACCATATTTGGAAAACGGCTTTCCGCCCACAATCCATTCAATGCGACCTCGAAACCGCAAATTATATCAAACGTCCACTAACCCAAATTCATATATACCCCTTCTGAAAACCTAAATCGCTACTGCAATTTTATTCTTCGTCCTCAAGCTCTATCTCTCTAAACTTTCAACGTTCAGACCTCTCAAACTCTTCACTAAACTGAAAATGAAGTTCATCAACATCAACGATCTTTCCAAGGAAGAAGTCAAGGCTCTTGTGAACAATATTGTTACAGGCATGCGAGTTGACATGTCCGCATTGCCCTTGTTGGCAGAAAATCAGAAGCGGATGAAGAAAATCATCCAGGGAATGCACGATTCCCAACTAAGCAAGATTGTTGCTCATCCATATGAAGAATTCAGCACCATGGATGTAGCCGAGTTCTATCTGAACGCCACTATCACCGGAGAAGCAATTCACTCTCAAGTTCAAGGCAAGGACTTGAAGATTGACGCCGATGCTCTAAACGAGTTCTTTGGTGTTCAACTCGATTCTCAAGATCCGGATACTCCAACCTTGATTGATCTAGACACAGTGAACATCGCTGTAGAGACCTTTGTTGACACCTACTGCAGGACAGAGGTCACTGGAGTAGAAAAACTATATATGAAGAAATGTCTACTGAAGAAGGACTATGAAAAGCTAGTTAGCATCATGCACAGATGCTTGTGGTGCAAGACCGGATCCACAGATGAAATGAACAATGCAAACGCCAAGGCGATTTATGCAGTTCATCGGGGTATGAATATTGACTGGGGAAAGGTGATTCTCAGATCCATCTCTGAATCTGTGAAGAAGAAGGACAAGGAGACTGGTCTATTCTCAACCAAGATGGGGCATGGTCTCCTCATCTCTCAAGCCATCAAAAATCAAGGATTGAAGCTCAGGAATCCTTCCAAAGTTGACCACTCCAAACTTGTCTTCCTCACTGCATCACCAAAGCTCCATGTAGCTGTAGCTGCAGAACTGAAAAGGGAGCAGAGACTAGATGAGAAAAGAGAAAAACTGGCTGCCCTGTCCAAAGCTGTTTCCAAGAAGAAGCCTCAGAAGCAACAAGAGACAACACCTGAGAAACCTGCATCAGAGGAGGAAGCATCAGAGAAGGATGCACCAGCTGTGGCTCCTGTCAAAAAGTTGAGACAAAAGAGGAGAAGAAGAGCTGTCATTCAAAGTGACTCTGATAGCTCAAAATCTCCTATCAGAATGCAGAAGAAGAAGAAGAAGACCAACTCTCCCCCCAAGGAATCAGAACCCCAGGGGGAACCAGCACCAGAGTTGGTTGCTGCACAAGAACTAGCGCCGGAGAAGGCTGATGCTCAGGGGGAACCTGCATCAGAAGCCCAACCCTCCACAGGACAAGACTTGCGTATATCTATCTCTCCAGTACCTCCAACTCCAGAGGATGAAGTTCAAGATGACATCCTTGCTGCTCTGAACAAGCAGTTCACCAGAGTCCTAGAATGGAGGAAGTGGAGATTGGGACCACTCTCCAACATTTTGCAACAGTTTGGTTTCTATTCTGCTGAAGAAAAGGAAGTGTTCAACTGGACCGGAACTGATGATGTGTCCAAGTGCACTGATATTTCCTTTCTGGAGTCTGTCTTAGCTGAGAAAAAGAGAAACTTCAAAGGCAAAGGCCGTTTGACTGCTCCAACTGCAATAGATCATGCTGCATTAGCTGTTCCTCCTCTCACCGAACAAGAGGTACCTATTTTTGAAGCTTGGCTGGTGGAGAAGACAATGAAGGATTCTCTTAAACCTCAACAGCAAGCCGGAGGACCTTCTGATGCAGAGCTGATCTTTGCAAATCTGATCACTGACTGGAGGAACGCTCAGAATCAGGAGATTGAGGTAATTCCTAACTCTCCTGTCCCACTACCATCACCTCCCAAATCCCCTTCACCCAAACCAATCACACCAACCACGACTCCACCTCCATCCCCTCAACCTCTTCCAAATTCACCAATAGCCACACCCAAGAAAACTCCATCACCTAAGAAACCATCATCATCTAAACAATCTTCACCCTGCCACCAGATAACCCCCATCAGAAGACGCTCACCATCACCACCTCCCTCACCTCAACATCAGCAAACCCCCACTCTACAAGTTCAACCTCATCAGAGCTCAGCCAATCAGAGATCCAAATCTGCTCCTCATCAGAAATCCTCCAAACCGCCATCCACCCAACACTCTGCTGCATCCACACCAAAAAGAGAGCCTGCTGTGAGGATTCTTTCCTCAACTGAAGACAATGATGGCTTTCTCACAGCTTCAATGGCTGGTGATCTACAATCCAACAAAAGAAAGACTCCTACTCCTCCTCTATCTCCTGATCAACCTCAACCTCAACCTCAACCTCAAATCAATGAGATACCTCAGCAACAGCCTCCAAAAGAAGTTCTCATCCCTTTCCAAGAGTTTGTGGAGTCAGCTGAAGAATTTGGAGACCAAATGATTGCTGGGATCAACAAAATGCTTGTACTGAATCAGAAGCATGATGCTCATCTTGATTTGGTTCAGTACAACATTGAGTCAGAGCTTGCCAAGATATCCAATACACTCTCTACCTTGGCCACTACCTTCTTGAGCTACATGAAGACTTCTAATGAGAAGGTAGACAACATAGCCTCAGAGGTAGCAAGCATCCACACTGTCCTCTACTCTCAATCTCTGACCCTCTCTGCTCAAGACAAGGCCATTCAGGAGCTGTCTGATGCTGTGGATGATCTTCAATGGTCATCTGATAAGCATGCTGAGCAACTCACAGATGTAGAGGACATCTGCAAAACCTTGAAGGAATTTGACATCAAACTGATAAACAGTGGAAAGGACAGAGATCACAAGTTGACTCTCCTTGAGGCAACTACTAAGGATATCCAATCTGCAGTTGATAAGCAGAAAGAGCTGATAGAAGGGCTGGCCTCGGTGACTCAGACACTCCCAGGTGCCCTAGAAGCAATCAAAGAAAGCAATGCTACAGAATTCTCGAAAATTGGACTCCTACTTGGTGATCTTGTTGATGCCAAAAAGGGGGAAGATATCAGAGAACCTGTTAAAGCCATCAGAGCTGCAGAAGGCACAAGCACCAGAGCTCTGACCCCTATCTCTGGTAAGCCTGATCCTTCAATATATTTTGAGAGAGCCAGGTAGAAGCAGATTGCTGCTGGTATTCAAAGACCTCCTCCTCCTCGGTCCAAGAAAGGGAAGAAGACAGCCTCCACCTTCACTTTGGCCCAATGGCTCAACAGTGACCTGGCTAAACCTGATGCTGCTCAATTCAGAGAAATGAAGAAGCATATGACCCCTATACAACAAGAGAATCTCATTTTGGATAAAGATGGGCTGATAATCATAAACCATGGTGGCTCAATGCAAGAAGCAGAAGATTGGTGGCGAATGAAAGTGATCCCTGGCAAGGTGTAACACTTGAGATTTAATATAAATGGATTAATAGTACTACTCATACCAACAGAGGTGCATCTCCTTTTAAGGGAGCTCATTACCTAAGAACTCCAAAGTTAAGTGTGCTTGCTTGGGAGTAGTCTTGGGATGGGTGACCCCCTGGGAAGTTTCTCACGGCGCGCATGAGTGAGGACAAAGTGCGCGGTAAAGGCTTGTGGTGGTTTGTGGGGACAGTACTATTGG